TAAAATAATAATAAAAAAAAAGCTACACGTCAAATCAAAATTTGAAATTAGTTTGGTTGATGTATGCAAAGCAAAATGAAAATTTGTTACATTTACCCTTGGTTTGGAACTAGATTTGCAAGGATTTGAAAATAAAAAATGATTTTGAAATCATTTCTTGGGTTTGTTTGGAAAGAAAAAAAAAATTAAAATCACAATAGATTTGAAATCATGTTTTAAGTCCCAAATTTTCCACTTAAAATAGTTCGGATTTGTGGATTTGAAATTAAAAAAAATATATCTAATTCCAAAGTTACCCATTCAGATAATTCTCAAACATGGCTTCATAAGCAAATAATCGTTCAAGTAAACTACCTTTTTCTCCTCGTCTCTTCTACAAACATTTTCTAATTATCGTTGAAGCAAAATACATTTTTTTATACATTTAAAATTTCTCTTCAATTTTTTTTCTTTAAATCATTTTTGTAATGTTCCCTTCTGTTGGGTGTTGTTTATTAAACTTCTTGCAGGTCAACTAATCCTTAATCTACATCTTCCAATATCCGAAATTTGCCCCATCAAACTTCACAATTCCTTCGAAACCTGACTTTCTCTACCAATTCCATAACCCTCTGAACCAAAGCTCTGATACCAATTGATGCGGAAAAATATAGATTAATCGACCCTCCTGTAAGTTCTTCAAACATGAACTATTTAATTTTCCTCTTCCACATGCTAAAAACAGATAAGTAAGTAACAATAACAAATGAATAAGAGATAGGGATAGAAAAAGCTTAACACTACAGGAATTATACTGGTTTGCCCAAATCTTGGGACTATGTCCATTCTTCTGCAAAAGGCAGGTTCTACTATATAGTTGAGAATATTACAATGGAGATCTCACTCAAGATATTCAATGACTATCTTGCTTCTAAGTACCCTAACAATGGTTACCTAGGATTGCACAATTGAAAATATCCTCACTAAACCCATGGAATACAGACTCCTTTTCACACGCTGCCTACAACCACTCAAGTCTCTTTTATTTAAATTCTGTACAAATGAAACATTAACAAAATGGTTATATTTATAAGAGGTCAAATACGTAGGAATTGGTAATAGTGTTTAAAATCATTTTCCTCGTAGAACACGGGTCATATGTTTTGGCTCCATTATCCTCACATATGTATAATATTATTTATCTAAAGAAGTTATCCATAAAAAATGATGTTTTACATTTTCCTATTTGTTTTCTTACTCGAACAATATGTTGAGTTAATTTAAAGGACAACTTTGTGTTACTAATTGTTATGGGTGGAACTAAGCCATACAAATCAAGATTAGGAATGCAGATCAATGACTCGAGCCTTAAAAAACTACACCCTCTTAACTGTACTGGTCAAGGACCAAAAGACACGACCAACCAGCCCACTGACTGGTCTAGTTAGCAATGAGCCGACACCATACAAATCAAAATTAGGAATGCAGATCAATGACTCGAGCCCTCAAAAACTACACCCTTTGAACTATATACTGGTCAAGGACCAAAGGACACAACCAACCTGCCCACTGTCTGGTCTAGTTAGCAATAAGCTAACCCGTTGGCTAGTCTGGTTGACCATGGGTCGACCGACCCATGGGCTAATTTAGTCATCCATGGGCCACCCCAACCCAAGGTCGACTAACCCATGGGTCAACCAGGTCATGGGACAACCTGGTTGGCCTTGGGTCATGACCCACTTTATGCCAACCAGACCAACATCAGACTAAGGATGCCCTTAAGTTGGATAATTCTCACAATCATCAATTAATCAAGTAGTCAAATTCAAAATCTCAAGATCTAAGGAGGTGAAAAATAGATAATATCTCGATGACCTTAGGTTAGCCAAGGTACGCTACAAAAGTATCCTAATTCTTGCCATCACACTTGACATCAACTTAATTCTAATTTAAGCATCAAAGTATGTGCGATTTTAGCACTACACTCGTGTGTAATCTTTATGTTTTACCTCTTTCATCGAAGTCACTCCCAGTCAAACTTACATACCCATCAATACTAATGATTAAAAAATAAAAATAGCAAAGGAAAGAAAATCATAATCCCTTTTGCAACAAATGGTTATTTCCCAATCAAACTCTTTCTCATTTAACTTCCCCAACATCATTTTCTATGGCCCCTATCTAACATCTGCTAATTTTCCGGAAAATTCTCAGCAAAAGCAGAGGAAAAAAAAAAAAAAAAAAACTACCTCTGAAAATTTGAATATACAGTGAAAATATTAATTAACTAACATGCATCTAACAGGGAAAAAGAAAGAAAGAAGGTTCTACACGTATTTTTCTTCTGTTCAAGAAATTAATTCTGCTCAGTTTATTCCTACACCAAACCAGTTGATCTGTTGTTATTCTTGACATTCTGAGAACTCTTCCAACCAACTTCATGTCCACTTCACAGAAGAAACACAGATCACCTTCTGTCTCTTCTTCTTCGTTCCTCTGCAACCTTTTCAGTATGCAATGTCCACTCCTCACTATTTCCTTTAGCTTCCTCTCTTTCTGCAATACAAAACCCCAAACCAATCAGTGTCCGTTTGCTTTTGCTTTCGCTTTCTATTTGTTGTTCTCCGTTTCTTCTTTTTCAAATTTGTTTCTCGTTATCATGAAACAAGAAATGGGAAATATAGAGCTCGTTTAGTAATGTTCCCATTTTTTGTTTCTCGTTTTCAATTTTCTTTAAGAAATTTAAGCATTTTACAACTAACTACGTTTCTTGTTTTTATAACATTCTCGAAATTATATAGAAATTTTGGAAACAACCAAAATAATTTTCTTCTTTCTTATTCCCATTTTCAATTTGTTCCAAAACATAAATGAAAAAAATTGTTGTATCATACTTGAATTATTGGATGTTGGAGTCTTGCAATTCATTTTTCCTCGTTAAAAATGAAGAAACATAAACAAAAAACAGAAACATTACCAAATGAACCCATAGTTGATGAAATATATGTTTTTCTTGTTTTAGTTATGTTTGATAACTAAAAAAGAAAAACATAAATATGTTTGGTAACTATTTTTTTTTTTCTTGTTCTCTAAAGTTTTAAATTAACAACAGTAAAAGTTTTTATATGAAAATTTAAATTTTAAATTAAATGTTCAAAATTTTTGTCATATTCATTCTTTTTAAAATTTATTATACATTTTATAGGTAAAAAATAATAAAATAATATTCTTATCTATATTTTAAAACTATATTTTGTTGTTTTTAAAATTTCTACAAACTTTTGAAATAGTAACAATTACTAAATGCTTATGTTTCTCAAAAATTAGAAATAAGAAAAAAGAACATTATCACCTTTTCTGTTCAAGTTTCGAATGTACTAGTCTAAAGTAAAACGAAGACGAACCTTATGAAGATCTGCTTGGATCTCCATTAGAAGTTGTTCATCAACGGGGTCTTGGAGTTCGACTTGGAATTTCTTCGAACGCTTTAGGGTTGCTTGATCTTTATCGGATCGAATGAATTGCCAAATGATTCTTATTGATTCTTGCAAAATCTCTACAAGCATATCACTAGTGATTGCTTCATTTTCATGATCTATCACTCTTCTTGCTTTCCTTCTATCCCTCATTTTATCCTCTACAAAAAAGAACCAATATGAACATCTAGTGATCAATCCATATATATACATATATGAATGGAAGTTGAAAAAGGTTTTAGCATAGTTACCTCTAATGACTGGAACTTGAAGAAGATGACGGGCGACACATCGATGCTTGACGTAATTCTCGACTCTCGGGCCTTCGAAAGCTTCATTCTCTAGAAATCTTTGCAAGAGGACTTGGAACTGTTGAAACTCACCAGCAACTTCATTGTAATGGTGAAGGCCATGAGGCTCAGACTCCCACAAATCCAAAGCCTTCTCATATTGCCATTGTATGAACTCCCAAGAAAGACACATTTGCCCCACATACACCATCTCCAAATCACAATGAACCTCTCTTATGAAGTTCTTCATTGGGTCCACTTGAGATTTCTTTTGTCTGTATAGCCTTAGGTTTTGTGAGAGAAGAGATGTGATTGATGGGGATGAAGATTTGCTATTGCTACAAAAAGATTTTAGTGGGTCCTTTGACTGTAATACCCCTGTTATTTTTCAAACAAATATTATAAAAAAAAACAAACACAATTAAATATTATACGAAAGTAAAACCAATATTATAAAAAAAAACAAACACAATTAAATGCTCATTGGAAGAAAAGAGAAAAAAACAAACAAACAAAGTGAGCATCTATGCATTACCCATAACCCAAAAAGGTGAGGCCACTTAAAGCCCACAAGAAAGTTGCTTTGTTTCTTCCTCAACTTTGTTTTCTATGTCACAAGAGTTAGGTTTATTTTATACACACCTACATTAAACAATGAGCATTTAAAAACAAATTAAAATAGCATGGTGGTAGAAAAATAAAATTAATTTTTAAATCCTAAGACTAAAGCCAAGAAATTGCTAGTAAAATAAATATAAAATTAAAACTCTGTTAATTGCAACTTGAAAAAGACATAAATTACCCTTGACCCAAGACGGTTATAGTTGCAATTAGACCCCAAAAAATATTAAATCTTAAATCATCCCTACTCTACGGGAGTTTTGCATTAATACCCCTAAATTCTTGCAATTAAACCCAACCACCAACATATATATATATATATTATGACTACCAACATATATAGTTGCAATGCAAGGTTTAATTGGAATAATTTTCCTAACTTAGGAACGTAATAGCTCATAAAAATTGATTTAGGGGTAGTTTTGATAATTTCTTAAAATAAAATTGTTATTAAACAAACCCTACCCTACCCTAGATAGCACTAAAAAAAAAATGTTTGAAACTTTTTCCCTCTGAAGTTTCAAACCAAATAAAATAATTGGGTTTAATGGGTAATTTAATGGATATTTATTTTTTCCCTCAAATTTGATTACCTACTCTCCACTTTTGTTTATTTAAACTTTCTAATTTCAAAATATTTGTTTACCAGGACTAAAATGAAAGTTTTAGGGACAAAAATGAATCTTTTAATGAATATTTCGAGAGTACATGAATTCGAAGATCTAAATCCAATAATACTCGAACCAAAATAATATCTGAACCTAAAATAATTACAATAACAAATTCTCCCTCCCATTGCAAATAAAGTTCCAAAACAAAATGTAAATTGGAATCAATCTCTCTCTCTCTAAGAAAGTCCCAAACCCAAATGTAAAATGAGGGAAAAAAAAGGTATTCTAATGGGTAGGAAGCCAATTCTCTCTCTCTTTCTCTGCCATGTATGATAATCTCTCTCTAACTTACTC